GTTCCTTATGGTCTTCTTTATTCCTAGAATATATTAAAATATCATCTATAAATACCACTACAAATTGATCTAGGTAAGGTCTAAAAATTCTATTCATATAATCCATAAATACTGCTGGAGCATTTGTTAATCCAAGAGGCATCACTAGATATTCATCCATACCAATTTCTAAAGGCTGTTTTTGGAATATCTTCAGTCTTAATTCTAATCTGGTGATATCCTGACCTCAAATCTATTTTAGAAAATATTGCGGCTCCTCTTAGTTGATCTAAAAGGTCATCTATTCGAGGCAAAGGATATTTATTCTTAATGGTGACTTTGTTTAGTTGCCTATAATCCACGCACAACCTCATACTTCCATCTTTTTTCTTGACAAATAGCACTAGTGCTCCCCAAGGTGACACACTTGGTCTGATGAACTGTTTTGATAGAAGTTCCTCTAATTGTTTCTTTAGTTCAATAAGCTCTAAAGGTGACATCCTATAGGGTGCAATAGAAATTGGCCCAACCCCAGGTATTAGGTCAATAGAGAATTCAATTTCTCTGTTTGGGGGTAAACCTGGAATTTCATCCAGAAAAACCTCTGAATATTCAGAGACAATAGGGATACTGGTTGCATCAGGTTTAGCCTTTGCTTCTGAAAGATTAAAGAGAACATATCCTTGTGCTCCATTTAACAAATTCTTCCTAAGTTGAGAAGTTGATAAGAATAAAGATTCATTTGGGAGTTCTGACTCTTTTGAGAAAATTATCTTTCTTTTATGACAATCAATGACCACACAGTTTGCAGACAACCAATTCATACCAAGGATTACATCAATGTCAATCATAGGTAAACAAACTAAATCTATTCTAAACTCTTTTCCTTCGACTTGAAGAGGACAATTTTTACAGACTTGAAATGTGGAAATTTTCTCTCCAGTAGGAAGAAAAATTTCAAGATAAGAAGATAGAATGGATATTGGTAATTTTAACTTTTGAGTAGAAGATAAGGATATGAAAGAATGAGTAGCTCCAGAATCAAACAGTACAGTTATAAGAGAATCTTGTATTAGACCAGTACCTTGAACCAAATTTGAAGTTTGAGCCGCTTCCTGACCACTAAGAGTGAAAACTCTTCCTCTTGTTGCAGGTTGAATTGGTGAATTCTGACCTTGATTCTGAGGACACTGCCTCAACATATGTCCAGGCTTTCCACACTTAAAGCATACGCCTCTTCCTGCTAGGCATTCTCCAGCATGATTCTTTTTGCACTTTGGACATACCTGAATCTGAGAATTCATCTGTCCTATATTCTTCCTTCCTCTGTTGTTAGCAAAGTTATTCCCTGAGTTTTGTGCCTGTGAAAACCTCCCTTTGTTGTTGTCATCGTTCTTTCTCCGACTTGAAACTCTGTCTTTCTCTCTTCCCTCCTCAGCTTCCTTCATGCTTGCTTCAATGTCTCTGCACCTATTTATTAATGATGAAAAATTCCGGATTTGGAGTCCTATTATCATACTTTTTAATTCAGGTTTTAGTCCAGATTCAAATTTAGTCGTTAACCATTCTTCATTAGGCTGATTTTGTACATAATTAGAATATCTGGATAATTCTTCAAATTTTGCCACATATTCTCCAACAGTCATGTTTCCTTGTTTCAATTCAAGGAATTCTATTTCTTTTTTGTTTCTTACACTCTGAGGAAAGTATTTTTCTAAAAAGGCATCTTTAAAGATTGTCCATGTAATCTCTGTTTCTTGGCTTTGGTAATATCTTTTGGTATTTGTCCACCAATGTTCTGCTTCTCCAATCAACAAGTATGTGGCAAAGTTTACACGATGAGTATTAGGACAGTCCATTACTAAGAATATTTTCTCAAGTTCTTTCACCCATTCCATGGCTACCTCAGGGTTATAATCTCCACGAAAAGTAGAAGGTTTATGCTTACGGAATTCAGTGAGTCCTTTATAATCAGAATTAAGTCCTCCTTGAGTATTTGCAATTCTAGGTCCATTTTCACTTTCAGAATTATGGTTGTGATTTCTGGTTGCACGATCCTCCCTCAGTTCCTGGATAATTTGCTGATTAGTTACAGTTTGTTCTCTAAGAGCTTCTGCCACTCGGGTAACCGCATCTGTTACTGGGTTAACTTCTGGTTCAGAAGTTGAAGAAGATACTTGCCTTGTACCCGCCATAGATCTACATATATTGTTTTATGATAGTAAGTTGATCAGGCTCATTAGAATAACTCAAAATATGCATGATCTATGACAAAATACCAGGCAACTATAATAGTTTAGGTCTTTTATTTATCTGAATCGCTGCTCTGATACCATAAAATGTAACAACCTCAGATTTTTCCAGTATAAAGAATATCGTATAATTTTATTTTTTTTAAACTATAATAATTAAATAAGAGTATAATAAAAATAAATCTAAAAAATTTTAACTAAAAACGCTAACATCCTTCATTTATTACACATGGATGTAAGTTAGTACAAATATATTACATCCTAAATATTTTACAACGGTTCCACACATATATATTATATTCCTACTACATCAAGTTACACTGTTTATTCCTCACATACTTCTCAGACTAATCTAGCCTATAGGTATAGGACTCCACACTGTCTGCATGGAATATAGCTGCCGCTCCTTGGTTTCCAACTGTTATGTAAAATTCCCAACGATCGTCATAAAAATAAACATTCACAGTCCATCCTTCTCCAGAAAAAGACAAGTTAGGCATGATGATTTTCTGAAAAGGTTAGCACAAAATAAAACAATGTGAGATAATTCTCAGTAATATTGAGATTTTTAAACTATAACCATTTCCAGCCGTGATAACGGAAAATATTAATCTCTCAAGTAATTCTCATAATTTGGAATAATGTCACAAATATTAATCTGCAATCTCGTAATATTTATCTGTAGCTAATTTAATTCTCAATTTTGTGGGTTTCCTGCATGTGAAAGGTTATAATATGGCGGAGCTCAAGCCATGATAAGACGTCCCTTACCCTCAAACCTTTTGATCCCAAACTTTGTGGGTCACTTCACAACAGTATTATTAAGATAAAATTTACACATTCTTTTAATATTCAATTGGTATAAAAAAAAAATTCAAAATCTGAAAAAATCATATTAACATAACAAGCATAACAAAATTAAAAGAAAGATTAAGGTAAAATTTATAGATAAAAAACATTACTAAAGAAGAGAAGAAATTAAGAGAACATTTTGGCATAACAACAACATATAAATTTCTAAATATATATATATATATATATATATATGATTGAAGAGAAGAAAGTAGAGAGAAGATTTTACTCTCTGAATATTACCTTTTACTTATTTCTACGTCTCTCTCTTTTTTTCTCCGTAACAAAGCAACGAGATTTACTTTGATTGCTTGAAAATGACCACTGAATGGTGATGTTGTTATCAATTTATATAGATGCAATATGATGACTCACCACTTCTTTCTTTCTTTTTACGTTTCTTATTTTTATTTTTTATTTTTTACATCATTACTCATACCTCATTGGTATTACATCATTTCACTTAGGATGTGGCTTTGGAGGGGTGACCCACGTGGCCCCCTCCTTGCCATGTATATATTTTTTTTTGTTACATTAATTTATTTATAATATTTATTTAATTGAAATAGTTATAATATTGTTATTATTAATAATTTAGAATATTTAAAAAATATTTAATTAGAATTTTAATGTAATAATAAATTTTAAGAAATTAATTTAATATATATATATTTTATTAAAATTTATTCTTTTATTTAATTATTTTATTTACCATATGTTATTTAATTTTTATAAGTAAATAGTATTCATCATAAGGCTTATCATATATTACATTCAATGTTGCCATATAATTTATGTAGTAACACATGTAACATAAATGAAATTTATTTCTTTACTTATTTATTAATAATACTAATTTATTTATTTATAGAAAATATAATAATGATAATAATAATAATAATTTATTTGTAACATATATATATATATATATATATATATATATATTATTACTTTGACTATTATTTTTTTTATTTGGTTATTATATGTATGATGTATCTATATAGTATATCACTATATCCTATAAAAAAAATATTTTGGGATTTAAATAAAAATATAATTCAAAGCTAAATTCAAATAAAAGAAAACTTTTCATATTTAGAAAAAAAAAATACCCAATCTAATCATTTCTACATGCTCCCTTCTTCACCCCTGATTTAGTGATTTCATTTGGACAATTAAAGACACCAAACATGGTAACGTCCCTAATAAATCCGGTTTTAGTGATCACACCATTGGTTCTATTGTTATTAAAAAAAAAATAGTGTAAAAATTTATATTTTTATGTTTTTACTGAAGTGATACATGTTAAAACGCAAATAAAAACTCGCCTAAATAAAAACTAATAAAAACAGTAAAAACGCAAGTTTCTTTGATTTTACTTGAAAAAAAATTGAATCGGGTCTTATACCAAAATGAAAAAAAAAATCTATTTCCATTTTCTCCAAATCAAAATGCACAATATCTTTGTCTAACTATCTGAAAAAAAAACTCTCACACGAGGTCGCAGTTGTAGAGAAAGAAGGGGGTGAAGCCACTCGTGAAAAGTTTGTGCACCAAGCTGAAATTAGTTTCGAATCAATATATTACGTTTTATTGCAAATGGATTTGTTACAGGAGCAAGAAAAAAAGACATTGAGGAATGAAAAATGCAAGATGATGTGTTTGACTTGGATCAATTGATATAATTTAATAGTTGTTAAACTTTATTCTTTTGATGTTTCGGAATTTGGTTTGAGGAGTTGTTAAACTCTTTTTGTGTTTTTGGATTTACATCTTATATAGTTATGTGATTTTTATCTTTTAGATATGAAGTTGTTTATTGAATTTTGAGTAGTTAGTTATGTGATATATTTATATATATATATATATAATTTTGTATCTTGAATTAAAGTAGTAGAAATTTTACGTTTCGTGTCGTTTCTACGATTTACGTTTCTACCATTCCCTTTCGTTTCTACGTAGAAACTCGATTTTGACAACATTCACTGGTTCTATTACACGTTAGATCTAATATGAAACTCAAACTGGCTATATGACCGGATCGACCTAGTTTTTTGAAAACTGGGTTAAATAAAGTGCACAACAAATATTCAAAGTGTTGTAAATGAGTCTAGGGAAGAAAAAAAATTGTAGACTCGAATTATCTTGGTTCGACAGTGTTCCAGGTTGGTAATATGGGCTTAGGTAAGTTCGAATAAGGCCCATATTCGGGTAAGGCTAACCGGTTCAGTAATAGTACTCATACCCGGAACCAGTCCTAGGAGCCCATAAGGTGACTTTAACCTATGCTTTAGTGGCACACGTGGACCCTACCACAATCTTAATAATGGCACTACTGATAACTACCCACTATAATTATAACTGTCAGCCATATCATATATAAGGATCATAAACAAGTTGAGAAAGACATATAACATACCAGAGAAATTAACACATTAATGTTCATACAAAACATTTGGCGCCATCTGTGGTCAAGGTAAAATTATTCCCACCTTGTCAATGGCTAGTAACAATCGTGAGGAGCCTAGAACTGAAAGTGGTCCTCTCGTTAGAGAAGAAGAAGAAGAAAATTCTTTCCAATTCAATGCAAGGAGCCGTTCGTTAAACACAATTAGACAAGCTTTAATCCAGTTGGCAGAAGATATAAGGAACAAACACCATAATGAAGGGAGAAGAAGGAGGCATCATTCTGAAGAAAGACCAGAGCAGGAGAATGTGCAATGTTGCTGAAATGTCAGAAGGGGTTCCCAATCCCCTGCTCCCAGTTATATCCCGTTGTCTCATCCTAAGGATCAACGAGAAATGGAGCAAGAGAATCATCGTGTGCAACATTCGAGGGAGTCAAGAAGCCCTCCAGAAAGGATAAAAAATAGAGGTAGAGGATGAGAGGTGAATCAGAGAAACGAGGAGCGAGTACACATGGAGTATACTTGCGAGGCTAATATGAGTTGGCGATATCAGGAAAAAAGGGAGAATGGACATGAAGAAGAAGGCAGGTGGGTAGTACACGAGCAGCAGGGTGTTCGTGAAGAAATTAACAGAAGTTTAGTCGCCAATATTATGCTTGCCGAGAAGAGGGTTAGGGTAATCAAAGGCGGCAATGTGAATACCAAGGAGGTCGGAGGCCAGAACCAGGCGAGTTCCATCATGGTCGCCGAGGAGAGTATCCACCGGAGGAACCCAGATATTATCATGCCTGGGATAGAGAAAATCAAGGAGGGATGGGAGGTCATTATCAGCTGGGTAACCAGCGAGATAACCAGGAATATTACCATTCTTAGCAAGATCGCCATGAGGATTATAGGGCTCAACCTTGTGAAGGACGAATGATGAACCCGGGACCAGGAGGACCATATGGGAATAGGCAAGCATAGGTGGCACCATATCAGCCATCTTTTCAACAGGGAGTTCCAGTAATGTCGGCTAACCAAGGACCATCGGGAACGCCACTATCGTGGAAATTGAAGGCGAAGCCTGATATGCCTTCAACATATAGAGTTTTCTAGGCTCAAAAGAGCAAGGATTTGATCATAATTAAGTAATAAATGTTTTTATTTGTTAGAATTATTGATAATCCATACTCAGACACGCTCTCATTAAATTTATATGTATTGCAGGAGAAAAATGCATGCAAGAAGATGATTTCACATTGACAGCAGCCTAGTCGCGCGGATCACACGGGATTGGCACGAATCGCGCCAAGAAGATTAGAAAAGAGCCAAATCTTCTGTCCATCCGCGCGGATCGCACGGGAGTGGCGCGGATCACGCGAATGTGACGTGCAATATTTAAATGATTGGACTTTTAATTAAAAGGGGATTCTAAATCAGGGATTTGATGAAGATATGGAAAGATTTGAACCCTTTTCTACAAATAAGGGGATGAAAACCCTTAGAAGATATCTTTTGCTGAGAGTTGGGAGACATCAAGAAATTGAGAGAGTGCTTAGAGGCTCATACTAGAGATCCAAATTTTGAAGGATTTGAGGATTGAAGACAATTGATTCTTTCTCTTCATCTTCTTCTTCTTTTCTTTTTATGAATTCTTTTGACTTCTTTAATTTGTTTAAGCAAGTCATGTCTGGCTAATTT